AAAAGTCAATACTGAGCCAGCAAGGTCAAAATAGTAAACTGACAACGAAATTAGTGTACACACAATTTCAGGAGCTTTTGCGCAAGAAATCATCAAAACTAATGACTAATCAAAACCTAATCACTACAAAGTGAACACAAGTTTACTTCATACAAGTCATCTATGTCAAATGTCAATTGAAAAAAAAAAATACACGGGCGGTAGAATTTATCTCATTAAAAGTTCACACGACCGGAGTATTTTGCCCTCAGTTATGGGTATGATATTGGTTCACGAATGACAGAATTAGGAGGCAGGGCATTTCCATTTACAAGGACTTGTTCCAGAAGATTAACTCGCACAGACTTGAATTGATAGTGCTGCAGTAAAAATAACAATATATTAATTAGTGAGGAGTGACAAAATTTGGCTGTCAGATTATTATAAATCACACGAGCAAGGCAAATGATTGACATGACTTCAGCAATAGCAAGAAATGACTTCCAACCAAGAAAAGTGACCAGATTAACTCCCTAACTTGTCAATTTTACCATACCATTGACACCAAATTACCACTGCTAGAGGCTCAAGTCCACCCTGCCCTGACGTGTTATAAGGCGGAGTCGATACCTAAAATAAAAGGGATATAAACTAATATGTGGTGCTTACCTTTCCTTCCCATTCAAAATCAATAAATTTGCAAATGGGCTCCAATACTGTGACCTGATCTCCTTGTTTAATCTGTCAACAAGAGTAGTTTGTTAGGTAATGATGTGAAAATCTAATGGGGAGTTGGATCCGAAATGCTTACAGCAACTAAATATCAGTAAATTACTCTGATGTAAAACAGTATTGTCATGACTCATAGTTCCTGTGTCATTTTTCACTTCTTTTCCTTTTTGTTTCTTTTTGTCCTTGCAGTATCAACTTTTCATAGAGCACGTGTTTCCTAAAAGAAGCTTCGTTTATATTATTTTCATCTTCTTATTCCATTTTAGTAGGAATATGGTAGGCTATATGTTATCAGGAAAATCTGAAGTAGGATAAATATTCAAATATATGACATTTATTCACTAGATAATAATTTAGTGGGGAAAATTTTGAATGAGATGATCACCATTACAAAGAGATATTCAGGCTCACTTATGGATTATTGAAGCGGCAAATGAAATATTCTTTTCTTGAAGTGTGGATGAATGAGAAAATCAATTTAAAAATGGCGTTCGATAATATGATATAGGAAACAAACTATTCCAATTTACAGAAATCTTTTGAAATGCTAACTCACTTTACTATTCTCTCTTTTTATCTTTAGTATTTATAGCTACTTATTAAAGAAGTAAGGTGCCTCCCCTTCATCTAATTTTTCATCCAGGAAGTGACGAAAGGGAGGAAAGATCCTTCGCTTATTTTTAAGGCACTTTGTGCTGCAGCAGTTTAGCAGCAAACTAACGTGTCAATACCTGAAATTTATTTGTTGATTTTCTTATCTCGGTTTCTCTAAGATACTCTACTTCACTAGACCACTTTTTTTCTAGGAATTAAGATCTTAATGGATAAGTGTACCAAGAAACATTAAAACAGCATAAAGTAGTGCTTACTGCTTCCTTCAGTATGCCGAACGCTATAAGTACAAAACTATTCTCATCAGAGTCACATAGCATATAGTATCTGTAGAATAAGAGTACACATTGAGAAATAAGTATTTAAGCATAAAGTAGGGCTGCACAGACAAGTAACTTTCACTTGTAAGGGAATGCTGAAAATGATCAACTCGTGTGTTAGGGCCTTCAGTTAAGAAAATGAAGTAACTTACACTGGAGCTTTATACTCATATTTAACTAAGCACCATACTGCCGCTATAACTGCAATCCGTTTGTTAGGGCCTTCAGCTAAGAGATCCATGGTTGCTCTGTTGTACAGAGGATTCACTGCCAGAAAGCACTCTATTACCTCAACTAATAGATAAATAGGTAAATCATATACCTCATTGTTTACAGTTCAATATCTAAGAAGAATGTAAAGCCTTACGATCAATATTAGCAAGTGATTCGATCAGGGCAGGCAAGTTTGTTTCCATACTCTTTCCCTTACTCTTCCCTTTATTCTTGTCATTACGCTTACACTGAAAAGCAGGATCACATAATTTAAATGCATCTTTCACAAGCTCATTCATAATGTCTTAACAGCTTTAAAAGAAGAAAGCATGTAACAACTGAGAATCTTAAGGCATTATATTTTAAAGACTATATCATAACTTTCCTGTTTCTTGAAAAAAATCAAGAAATGAAAAAAGAAGAAACAACTAAAATGTTACCCCAGGCACCATTCAGTCAATACAGGAAGGGCTCAGTTAACTCATTGAACAAATAAATTGGACTATTTAAGGACACAAGAATCAGTCAGTACCTCATCTCCTTTTCTTTTAGATACTTCTAATGCTTAATGAGTACCTTTTGCAACTATTTGTAGTGGTAAGGTCTGCGTACACTCTACCCTTCCTAGACGCCACTTAGTGGGATTTCACTGAGCATGTTACTATTGTTGTAGTAAGTGAAAAGGATTCAGAAAAAAATTCACCGAGTAGGAGAAACTTAACCAAGGTTTCTGGGGTAGCCATAGTAGAGTTACCAAGTTAATACAAATAGTGTTACTAACTTAGCAACCAACTAGAATATTTCTATCCGAACATCTCTTAATTCCACATAATCTTTTCTGCCTATCGTAGTTTCTTAGCCTCTACTTGTTTGGCTATATTCCAAGATTCACCCATCAGCTGTGCCTCAAACCTACACATTAAGACAATTTTGAGAAATCATAGAAAAGCATGACTAAGTTTTGGTGTTTTTCCTGTCATACCATAAAACCCAATTTCATGTTTATATATGTCCCCCACCTAGCTATCATTAGTACTTGTTACCTAAAGGTTGTCAGAGCAGAACTTTGTAGATATTGACTGGTTATCTCGGAAGCTATCTTAAAGGACTACCTCATCATACATTATGTTATAGCAGGAAACAGAAAGCTTTCCTTGGTAACTCTGACAATGAAATCAGTGGTTAAACAGGTCAGAGTTCCATACTAGTGACAGGTATGTGTGAACACATCAAACCACTCCACTGTGACATGTTGGGAGTTGGACAGGTCAGATGAGCAATTGAAGGGAGTGTGACTCCTTGAATACCTCTTGTAAGTAGTTATCGCTGACCTGCATTTGCATATATGCTGGAAACAATGAACCTTTGATCATACTCATTTCCCTTGATTCTAATGTCATCAACTAAGCCGTTCTTAATGCAATGGATTTTAATATCACTTATGGATGCTTTATATAAAATAACCACAATGTCGTAATCTTACCTGAATTAATCCTTCTAATTTGTCAAGAAGCTGGAGCGTCAGTTTCATTTGATGTAAAGCATCACTAGCAGGATTCATTGATGCAGCATCTGAAAATCCAATTAGCGACATCTTGTAGTTCTCCAGATATCTATTCACCTGAGAAAACAAATATCAAATTTTCCTGACATGGCATTGAATTTTAGAAAGGGGGAAAGTGAAGTCTATATTTAAGATATCATGATATATGCAAACATAGAATTTGAAGATGAATAAGAGTGAGGTTTTTCAGAGACTATTGGTTCTTTCTTCACTAAGCATAAAACTTTCAAGCTTGCTGAAGCCAATTCTTTTAAATCAGACTGTTTTTCTAATTCGAAGTTGTACTTCTCTATACACTCTTGTTCTTCTAGATAGATTATTTCGTACCAAACACAATTCAACAAGTCACTGATATCTGCAGATCTTGTAATAGTCATTTACTGATCTTTTCGTACCAAACTCAATTCTCTATATAAACACTTGTAATAGTTAGACAGGATGCTTAACTACCAGAAAGAGGTAACTAATTCAATGAGTTATTATCAGATTCTGTTTTCACGTACGACTTTCTTTTTCTCTGTAAAGTTGACAGTGCTTCCTTGTCATATTATAACCTGTATCCTCATGTGTGTTTCAACTTTCAAATACAACCTGTGTACATGTCCTATTTTATGAGAAAATGCTTCAATTTTATGGTTTTATTCAAACTCTGAGAGAGCTAAGCTTATTTAGAGGCATTCTCTGCAACCTTTAAGATGATGAAAGAAGGTCTATCTGTGATCCACACAAGAAGTTGCAAACTTATATCCTTTCCTTGCTGCACTGTGCAGTGTACAACTTGATACATGGTCTCTTGTCTTTGTTTCTTTTTCTTTATTTTTAGTTTTTCTAACTCTTGTTCTTTAAGAACACCATCATAAAAGTACGAGGTGATAATTAGCAACAATTGAGAACCTTGTGTTTTGAAAGATCCTATATATGATACAACAGTTCATAAGTGAAAATCAGTTGTTTTTTTTAACAACTTACCATGCTACAGTCGTATTCAAGATGTGGGTTTGCCTTCGCTGCAACAATTTTTTTCTGAAATAGGGTAGGAAATCAGAAGAAACTTCCAAGTATCTAAAATAACCTGGCTCGCAGGGAGTTAATACTGTACACATATATTTCATGTTAAAATAAGGGGAAATAAATATACAGAGATAAGATTGTAAGAACTACTTACGGCTTTTTCGTATGCCTCTAATGCCAGTTGAAGATTATTGTGATCCCGTCCTCCAGTCAGAAGAAAGGAAGTGAAATGTGCACATCCTAAGATATCTACCAACCAAATGAAGCTCAGTGAAGGAGTTGAAAATTGGATTTATCAAAATGTTTATTATATCTAAAACTGTGTGCAGATACTAGTTAAAGATCTAAGTATAACATACACTTTATAGTAAAGCAGGACACTTGGATGTTTTCATAAGTATAACATACACTTTATAAAATTCCACGTACTGCGCATATGGTACTTCATGGTTCCATGTACCAAAGTATATAATCTCTGCACCTTAATCTGTCTTAATTGTTATTTCTTAACTATAGCTAAACAATATGTGAAGGGTGAAGACAATCATTGACAAACACCAAGTAAACATTTAGCAAATTGGCAAAGCTGAGAGTGCCGAAGCACAGAATGTTTATGACACAATATCAGAGAATCTCAGAGGTAAGTGACTAAAATTTAAAGTAGTTCCTCTTTTAACTAGATTCTGTTTGCAGTCTTACATAAACAAATTCCATCCTTGTCATCCAAAACGAGCATCCTTTGGGCATATTTGATGCTTTGTTCAATGTGCTTGGCTGGATTTTCAGAAACTATGAAATAGATATACAATCAGATTAATAGATCAGCAGCAGCCACTAAGAAAAAAAGCAAATATAGATTTCTGAATTTTCTCCCTGAGTAACTATTATTAACTTAATAAGAGACTGGAGAAATGTATTATACATTTGCTTTGATTTGTTAAATGAAGATTCTAAACTGAAAATTGTAGAAATCATATTCAATTAAAAATCAGAATCCCAGACTAACAAAAATATGTAAAGTACCTAATTAGGGATAGAATTAGAACTTCAAAGACAGAGCTTCCAGTCCATAAAAACAGATGTAGAGCAAAATAATAATGGGAAAAATACACTGACCATGAGAACTGGATTGAAATAAACAAAAGAATTACATTCACCTCGTGCAAACTTCAGTTCAAGGTCTGCAAGTTTATGTAAAATTATGCTACTTTCTTCACCCTAAATCAAATAAAAGATGAAGAATCCGTTAAATGAAGTGAGCGTTTGAAGTTTAGAGAACGGAAAACTTACGTACTGAAGAAGCAGCGAAATATAACCATTTCAAGGACAGTCTGATAGCATCTTTTAGCTCTATGGATATGCCCTTTCTTGACAAAGCAACTGCCGAGGCAATGCCAAGCATCACGCAGACGCGGATTTAATCGAGTCTGGTAGATAAAATGAAGGCACAGTGAGAAGGAAACCAAACGCAAATTCAACACACTAAATATGCAATCCTTCTTTCACTTACAGCATTCACGAGATGACGCTCTGCTTCCTCCTTATAAACATCAGGAATTGCATTATAAAACCTTCCTTTTAGATACTCGAATATTGCACGTTCATGATTTAATTCCCTCTTCTCTGCACGAATTTGTACCACTTAAACTCACTTGATAAATTAAATTGAATGCATTTTTTTTCTTCTTCTGGATAATCCATACCTTGAGGAACTGATTCGAGAACTTCGATGCACAAACAAACTTGATGCTCGATGTCAGAGATTCTCTGTTGTTTACTTGACGGGAAATGCTGGTTGCCAAAACTGTAGACCCATTCCGTCAGTTTAGATAACTCTGAAATCCAATCCTCGTAGTTGAATTCTTTTAGATGAGCAGAAACTTCTTCAATTGGAGTTCTCATCTTCAATGGTGGATTTTGGAAGGCTGATGAAGCTCAACTGCAAACTGCAAATTCTGTAAGATATGGCGGTTATGGTTTACAGCTTTTGGGTGGGAAATTCTGTTTTTAAGTGTATTCTAATGGATCACACTTGCTTCATTTTACTATTTAAGGAAATTACCCTGACACCCCTAATAGTTTTTGTATTCTCTTTTTTCACCCGTAACGTTTTAAGCTTAAAATCTCATATTATTTACTTTTATATATATTCTACTACCAATCATTGTAATCTCCCATAGCAAGTCACGAATGTTATTGGTATCCATGTATATCCTTAGGTCAGACCACATACTAAGGTTATTTAAATTTGAAACAAAATCGACAATTTAAATTGAAGAAAATGTTATTGATTTATCTATTAGTTTAATGGTTCGATAACGATAAAAAAAATTCTTCGAATTATGACTTCTATAATGATAGGGTTTTTTATTAATGGGGTAATCGACAACCAATCATAGTTGAGGAAAAATCTTGTAGGTTCATTATATTTTACTATTGAGATTGTGATAATGCAAAATAAGTTGGTTCCTTTCGTAAGAAACAATCCCTAAGCCAATACGATAGAAAAAATAATTGGAGAATAACTAATAGCTTAGTTAGTTGGCTATCTAAATTTTTACCATGTTAGTATAGGACTCGACTTACCTTCAGTAACTCTTTCCTCTAGTTCCTCCGGTACCCCTCTTGATTGGTGACATGTGCCATCTAACAAAATATATGACTAAGATTCAATAAAGAAACCTAACCTAAACCACATGCATGAGCTAGTGTAGCTCTTCTATGTTAATACTCCCTCCGTTCAACAATAGTTGTCTACTATTGACTTGACTCATGACATCTTAGGAAACAATAATTAATAGGGGTAATATAGTAATATTACCCTTTGAATATATTAAATTTAATGCTTTGAAAATGTATTAAATATTGAACAGTATTTAATTAATAGCAAGGGTAAAACAAACACAAAAGGATAAATTATCTCTTGGTTTTCTAAACTGAATAAGTATTGTTGGACAACCATTTTTAGTATAGTGGACATGTAAAGATAGACGGAAAGAGTAATAACAAGTCATAATGACTACAGTCCCAAATGATGAAATATCCTTCTGACTAGCTAAGTTTGTTTTGGAGGTTGATTCACAGTTATTTTTAGGGCTATGACATCTATTGTAATTCCGACATATCTGTACGCAAGTTTCTATTGCTCATTTCTATTGGATGGTTGTCTCACAGGGTTGATGATGTAGTCATGGTCTCATGAACTTTTAACAGTCTATCCAAATTAGCCTCATACATAATATTGTAACTTGTAGCACTTATCCCTATTGATATTTTTTATGTTTAATAAAAGGCCACTAGACACTATCTAACGATAAATTTGCAGGAAAAAAAATGACTCAGTTTTTTTAATAATTAAATATATTATTATTGGTGAGATTTGAGAGTACATTATAAGAAAATTGAGTTTGCTTCTCTATGGAGATGTGTATAGAGTCGTCTACTACCTAATAATCATGAAGAAAATAAGAGATAGAGAACTAAATATCTTTTGATCACCACAGAGTTTGTAATACACTCCATGATGATATTGAGTCAATCAAGAAGAAAGTTGAGTTATCAGCCTCAAACTTTTTATTACAAACCCATGAATTAAAAAAGATTGATTGCCCATCAAAAGTAACTTGAAGTATTTTTCTCTTGTCTTCTTCTTCAAACCTATCCAACAACACTTGATAATTCATACTTTCTTTATGGATTTATTGGATCTTGTTGAACCTATTGATACTGTCAAATGGTCTTGCATTGCCTGTCACATCGGTAGTGTCACGCCCCGAGCCTACACCCTGGGCGGGACCGGCACCCGGAGACCATCTCTGGCCCAAGCGAACCCTTGGACTGGCTTTCTTAACTCAGCGGAAACCTAACTTAACAGAATAACTCAATGCCATGCAAAGACATAAAATAACTTAGTTGATAAGGATCTGGCCAAAAAGGCAACTCGAGTCCCAAAATAGAATATTTACATAAATACATAGATGAGAGACTCAATACTAACTGACTGACTGTCTGTCTATGAAGCCTCTAACATACTGAGATGGATGTTGGGACAGACCCAGCAACATCCTAATAACACAAAACTAACGACTGAATAACTGACTGGCATGTCTTGTCTATGAAGCCTCTACAATACTGAGATGGATGTTGGGACAGACCCCGCAACATCCTAACAAAACAAAACTAAGAACACAAAATAACAGAGTCCTCCGGAAACAAGGAGGCTCACCACTGACTCTGGAGTGCTCAACTGGATCAACGGCCTGCTGGATTCTGACCCTGGATACCTGTGTTTGCATCATCATAAGATGCAGGCCAACTGACATCAGTACATTGAATGTACGAGTATGCGAGCTGGAAAGCTAAGCAACATAGGCTAGAAGGAAATATGAAAGAAACTGAATAACTTACCTGGCTCAACTCAACTCCACCTGACTGACTCACCTCAATATAATGCAATTTAAAACAAGTGCAATATAAAGAAAGCTAGTTTAAAACCTGCTATAAACTCTGTGTGTATACAAAGATACAATAAGCCTGAGATGTATATAGAAATACAACTGAACTGATGTATATGAAAATACAATAATCTCTGTGTATGAAAATACAATAACTGATGTGGAGTTTCTCTAACCGACAACCATCACAAAAGAGCTATAGTGACGATACATCGATCGACCTCACGCTGCCAGAGCATCCTTTACTCGGCCAAAGGTATAAGACCTGAACTGCCTAATGGATCCACTAGTCTATATGGAAAAAGATTCATCTAAAAAGTATGATCCTTTTCTACCCATGGTGGCTAACATGGTTCTATGGGGACTGTGGGCTCCTTGAACGCTCCCCTAACTCGGTGCTCGATACTACTCCCAAAAGAATGTACTAGCTCTTATGTTTTTAAAACATATGTCTTCCTGCTGATTGAGATAATTACTCAAAAAAAACTAGCCTGAAGGCTCTTTGGAAATCTCAGTTTCCAACCTTGTTTAAATGTAAAAACATTTCTTTAAAACTTCTTTGGGAATACATAGTTCCCTAATAACTTTGAGAAATGAACTCAACTTGATGTTCTTGACTTAGCTTGAAACTCTATACTCTTTGCTTGACTTGCAACTTGAGCCTTAAAATGAAGTTAAAACATTCAATAAAGACTCTTGAACAACCTTGAAGACTTGCTTCTTAACTCTTGAACTCGACTCTTAACTTCACTTGACTTGGAAGCTAACTCTCCTTGAGTTGGATTATGAATTCAAGGTGTTTGATCACATGTTATGGATGAATTCTTAACATTTAGACGTACTTTGGAGTGTTGGAAACAACTAGGAAACATAGGAACAATACCTAGGAACATGCATAAGAAAGTGGGGAATAATGAATGGGAAAACCTGGCGCTCTGAGAGGCGCGGAGCGCCAGACTAGAAATTTCAGAGGGGGCCTGCTGGCGTACTGAGAGGCGCACCGCCCCAAGGGGGAAACTTCAGAACCCCTTTTGGGGCGCGCTGGCAGGTGCGACGCTCCAACCCCTTGCCTAGAAAACTCAACTTTTCTCCCTCTTTTCTCCAACTCTAAACCTTCTAAAACTTCAATGGTTTCAACCCCCAAGCACTAAAGATCATCAAATCCCTCAACATACAAGAGATTTAACTCAAAACCACAACCAAAAAACATGCCCAAAACAACAAGGGACTTCAACAACACCAACAACAACATCAACAACACAACCAACAACTTCAACAACACAACCAATCCTTCTTTTACAATAAAATGAATTTGGAGGGTGGGGGAAAGAACCAACCCAACCCTATAGACTCACATACCTATTAGGGATCACCCCCGACGATAACCACGACGGAACTTGCTTGATCTCCTTGCTCCTTCTTCTCTTTCTCCTCTTCTTCTCCTCTTCACTCTCAAGCCCTAGCTCTCACTCTTTTAAAATGGGATAAAAATGATCCAAAATAAGCCTAACACAACAATATAACCTCAAAAGAAATGGCTAGGGAAAAGACCAAAATGCCCTTAAAATATCCGGACGGATTCCCTGCCAACTGCCCAACTTTCAAAGGGCATTACTCACTCATACGAACTCGAAATCGAGAAAACTCGGTGGCGTTGGAAAGACCATTCCACGAGCTTTGCAACCATAACTGGAACTACACCTAAATCATCCTGATATAAAAGTTATGACTGCTCAAAGTTGGCCAAAAACTCACCTTTTTCCTTAGCCATATTTCCAAATTTTAAATCTTTCCAAAAATGACTATTTCCAATTCTAAGCCTCTTCATAATTATTTCAAATCGTCGGTTGTTACAATATCTCCCCCTTGGGAACACTCGTTCTCAAATGAGGTTACTCTTACAAGGCTAAGGGTGTAACATCAATTCAAACACCCAACAAGCAATCATGCAAACAACAACAACAACTACATGCTCACTATAATTCAAAGAGCACTAAGAAGGAATTTAATACCTTAATCTGCATTTCCTCCGGATTCAAAGAGATAGGGATATCTCTTCTTCATGTCCTCTTCGGCTTCCCAAGTAGCTTCCTCAACTAATTGGTTCCTCCAAAGGACCTTAACTGAGGCTACCTCTTTCGTTCTCAACTTACGAACTTGGCGGTATAAAATCTGAACAGGGATCTCCTCATAAGATAAGCTATCCTTGAGCCTCACACTTTCAGTCGGCAGGATCAATGAAGGATCGCCTATGCACTTCTTCAACATGGAGATGTGAAAAACTGGATGAACCGCTTCTAGTTCCTGTGGTAGCTCCAACTCATAAGCTACATTGCCAACCCTCTTGA